ATTTATGCCCTCATACCGTCTTAAGATATATGTTGATCTGGGTAAACATCAAGGAATTTCAAACTGAATCCTTTATTTAATCTGCCATGTAGAATATTTCACTTTCCACTTCAAGGGCAGATCCAGAATTTTCAATTAGAGGGTGTGTGTTCCTCAGTAAAAATCTCATTTCAAAATTTTAAATTCTGTGATCATATATATTAGGTTAGAAATGAGTAGAGAGTGTTCATATATATATAAATATAAATAAATATATATTTATATATATATTTAAATGCCCATTAAGGAATTGTATTCCTGATCAATTAAAATTCATAAATAATTATATAGGCCACACTACAACATGTTTGACATGCAGACTCACTCTACACCTTTCTGACCATAGCTCAATTAGATCTCATTTAAATATTCATGGAGACCTACGGGACACTATTCGTAACATACCTGTTGACAAAACAAATATAATAGCATCATCTACATGCAAAAAAGGCTAAAAATAATGGAACTAATAAAAACAAAAAACAATAATTAATAATATCAACTATGAACATGGACACAATATCTTGACCGTGTTTTGAAAAATGAAAACATTATATAAATACATACATGCGACAAACTATTTTTTATTTAACAGTTAAAATATCTAATCTTTGAAGATGGCTAAATGTGTAGCCGAAAGCGCATGGAATAAAGAACATTTGGAGAGTTTTTATATAATTTATCATCTGAAAAGAAAAATATTATTAGATTGCATGAGAAATTGTATAAAAACCTAAATCAAAGCACCTTGTCTGTTGTATTCAATGAAATGTGCATGGAAGAAGGATTGCTGCTTAAATACAAATATATATATATATATATATATATATATATATATATATATATATATATATATATATATATATATATATATATATATATATGTATAAATTTAAATTTGCATTTTCTTTTTAGATACAAAGAGTGATTATATAGTGTTTAATTGCTTGCTTTTTGCGGATCCTTATTTGCATAGAGGTTAATTTTATTATAGTTTAACTGAATGTATTGAGAACAAGTGTATTAAATCTGTCTTCACTCATTATAGAATACCTTATCTACTTTGCAACAAAAACATTTACATTTTTTTCTTAAGGTAATTCACTCCAAGCTAGGAGGGAGTGTCACTAGCACGCAAGGGGTTACAGAGGATTGAGAACAAGAGTAAAGAGACGTGTTTAAGGAAAGGATATAAAAGAGGATGGGAACAAGCTCAGGGTGTTAGATGTCAATTGACATTACACTTAAATATTTAAAGATTATAATCATTGGGGAAGCAAGTAAGAGGAAGAGAGTTCCACAGACAGGAAGTGCAGTAGAAGAAGCTGTTTGAGTAGAAGAGATGGTTACATTTAACCGTTTGGTCAGTGAAAGGGTGAGATCGAGATGCCAGCCTGGCAGCTCGTTTAAATTCACAAAGTCTAGGAACCAGCGACAGTAGTTCGTTGGAACAGTTGCCGTGAAAATATTTGTAGAAAAGACAGAGGGAGGCCACAGCACATCTGTAGGATAGTGATTGTAGACTAGATGCCAGATCAGGACCTATCATCTTAGCATATTTGTCTCTCAGAAAATTTGGGTAAGGGGTGTGAACCCTTTATACTGCCCATGAATTTCTTGGGATGCCTTGCCTTGATTATTTTAGTAAAGTTCAATTTTTGGTGGCAGATTACCTGGATGTGGTTACACAGATGAAGACTCAGTGGAAAAAGCGTGAGCAATAACTGAACAATACAACTGATGGCTAAAATACTGTAATAATAAAACAGAGTTGAGAACATCAGTCCAAATAAACATTATTATTTTCTGATTATTAGAATATTATTAGTTGCTAAATATTGATCATTATTATTTCCTAAATATCTATTATATTTCCTCAATATTGAATGTTGTTATTTTCTAAATATTGAACATTATTATTTTCTAAATATTAAACATTATTATTTGCCAAATATGGAACATTATTATTTTCTAAATATTGATTATTGATAGTTCCTAAATATTGAAAATTATTATATCTGAAATACTGAATATTGTTATTTTTTAATATTGAACATTATTATTTTTCAAAAACATTGAACATTATTATTTGCCAAAATAGGGAACATTATTATTTTCTAAATATTGAATATTGTTAGTTCGTAAATATTGAAAATTATTATATCCAAAATATCAAATAGTTATTTTTTAATATTGAACATTATTATTTTTCAAAAACATTGAACATTACTATTTGCTAAAATATGGAACATTATTATTTTCTAAATATTGAATATTGTTATTTCCTAAATATTGAAAATTATTATATCCAAAATATTGAATATTGTTATTTTTTAATATTGAACATTATTATTTTCTAAAAATTGAATATTCTTATTTGCCAAATATGGAACATTATTATTTTTTGGATATTGAAAATTATTATTTTTTAAACATTGAATTTTATTATTTGCCAAATATGGAACATTATTACTTTCTAAATGTTGAATATTGTTATTTCCTTAATATTGCAAATATTTACAATCCCCTGAGAATGTATGTCTGACCATTACACTTTTATATATTTAGTAGATAATAATTAGATCACTGAGTCAGTGTGCTAGAAACCTGGATAGTGATAATCATTTTCATGATATTGTCCCAAGACTAACACTCACTGACACACAAATGATAAAGAAATCCTCTGATTATTCATGCCATTGGGAATCTAATGGCTCATCACACACGCACATATGTGAGTATCACAAAGAGACACACATTTTCTTTGTTAATATATATTTGAAATTCACATGTTCATTATAACAGAAAATTTCTGTTTTGAATTTAATGAGCCATTTTATGTACCTATCTGACCATTTATCTATGTATCTATCTACCGCTGTTAGTTTGTTATTAGCTATCTTTTATCAACCTATCTATTCTCGTTCTATTCCTTAACTATTGGTCTCTCTATTTCAGTCTGTTCATAATCTATCTCTGTCAATTTGTTAGCAACTATCTATCTTTTCTCACTCATTTTATTATCTATTGATCTCTCTCTATCAATCTCAGTACATTTTTACCTATCTATCTATCTATCTATCTATCTATCTATCTATCTATCTATCTATCTATCTATCTATCTATGTCAAACTGTTAATATCTATGTATTCTCATTCTGATTATTATCTTTCTCTGTTTGTATCTCAGTTCATAATTTTCTCTTTCTCTTTCTCTCTCTCTCTCAGTCTGTTCATATCTATCTATCTATCTATCTATCTATCTCAGTCTGTTCTATGCTCTTTCTCTCTCTCTCTCTCTATCTTTGTTTCTCTGTTAGTACTTATCTATCTATTCTCACTATATCTTATTTATTTATCTCTCCTTTTCATATGTCTGTTCATAAATCTTTTTCTCTCAGTCTGTATATCTATATATATCATTTAATTATCTCTCTCTCTTTGTTTATATCTATCTATTTTCATTATATTCACTATCTATTGCTGTTTGTCTGTCTCTTTCTCTCTCTCTCTCTCTCTCTATCTATCTATCTCTCTCTCTCTATATATATATATTTCTATCTCAGTCTGTTCTTATCTATCTATCTATCTATCTATCTATCTATCTATCTATGTTAACATATATGTATCTTGCTTTCATTCTCTCTCTCTCTCTGTGTCTAGCTATTACCCTTCATAAATCCCTCCCTCTCTCTCTCTCTCTCTCTCTGTTCATCTATCTATCTATCTAGCTTGCTAGCTTGCCAGCTAGCTAGCTAGCTAGCTATTCTGCCTGTTCATTATCTATTGATCTCTGTCTCTCTTTCTCTATATTAGTCTGTTTTATATCTATCTATCTATCTATCTATCTATCTATCTATCTATCTATCTATCTATCTATCTATTTCTGTGTTTATTTCTGTTAGTAGATATTCTCACTCTGTTCATTATCAAAATATCCCTCACACATACTCTCATTCTCTCAGTTTGGTCATATCTATCACTCTTCATAAATCTCTCCCCCCTCTTTCAGGCTGTTCATCTATCTATCTATCTATCTATCTATCTATCTATCTATCTATCTATCTCAGTTTTACTTTCTTTCTTTTTTCTTCCTTACACTCTCTGTATGTTTATATTTCTTCATCTTTCAATTGCTTATGAAGAGTGATAGGTAGATATGAACAGACTGATGCATAAATAATGAACCAAGTGAGAATACATAGATACTAACATCAAGACCAAGGCAAAGTATAACGAGCCTATGTGAAAATTTATTTTGACCAATGGAAAAGGAAGTGTCTTACAGACTGAGAAAAAAGTAATGAGCCGATGTGAAATCGCTTTTTGATATTAATAGACGGAGAAAGACAGAGAGAAAAAAAGCAGTAAAAAACCAGAGTTCCACGGGTCTGAATAACGCCAGTGTCAAATTACATCATCAGCCTCTAATGAGAGCAGAGCAATTTCATAGAACTCTATTCAACAACTCCAAACTAAAGTACATTAAAATATATCTTTTCATTCATGTTGAATAAAATCACATAACTTCCATGTGAAAAACGAACTCTCTCAATTTGTTTTAAACATTTCGGAATGTTACTTTGTGTCCGATGATTTAATATGAACATTTTCTCTTCTTAAGAATTCATCAAAACTACGAACTTTAAATATTTGATTCCTTTTCCTGAAAACAAGCTACTAATAAGTCCAAATGTGTAAACTTGTAAATAAATTCCTTGTTTCATTAAATACCTCGTCATTATCCCTCAAAACTTCAAGATACAGACTAAGAGAGAGATATATATATATATATATATATATATATATATATATATATATATAGAGAGAGAGAGAGGGGGAGAAAGGGATACATAGATGCTAAGATAGATAGATAGATGGAGAGAGGGATAGATTTATGAAGTGTAATAGATAGATACAGAGAGAGAGAGAGAGAGAGAGAGAGAGAGAGATACATAGACGCTAAGATAGATAGATAGATAGATAGTAAGGGAGAGATTTATGAAGGGTAATAGATACAAACAGACTGAGAGAGAGGGAGAGAGAGAGAGAGGAGAGAAAGAAGATACACAGATAGACGCTAACATAGATAGATAGATAGATAGATAGATAGATAGATAGATAGATAGATAGATAGATATTGATTATTTTAAAACATGGTGTCCAAGACGATTCCACTTTTTAGTGTATTGGCGCAATACAACTTTTCTTTCATCCATTTTGTTTTGTGACAGAGAAAACTGCAATTAACTTCTTCGTCTCTGTTTCTCTGGCCGATTCTCTATCTATGTGCGTGTGTATGGCCGTGAGTATGCGTGTGTGTGTGTGTGTGTGTTTTAGTTTGACGCTTGAGTCGTACAAAGTTAATCTTAGTAAATATTGTTGTTAAACATGATGGCCGATGAAAACACGCTGCTTTTGCGTTGCCACGCTGGTATGGTAAAGTTGCAGAGCAAATACAGAGAGAGCAAGCAAAGAAAGAAAGAAATAAAAAAAAAGTCTATCGTTGATAGTGTCTAGATGGAAGTGTGGGCTGAAATAATTATTGACGCTGTCATCTCGTTTGTCAGCGCCGCAGACGCATTTATCATTGCGCCCGGCCAAACGGATTACCGAGAATTTGGAAAGGTATTCTTTAATCGGTTTGTCGCAAGAAAGAACCATTTTTGATTTGTTTGTTTTTTTAGCGGCATGTTAACACCTTATGGGTCATTTAAAACCGAAATTTAATTTTCTTGAGAGCATTTGTAATTTCTTTTACAAAAATGTATTGCCGGTAATTTTTTGAAATAATTATGTATTGGTCATTTTTTTTACTATGAGAATGTATTACTGGTATTTTTTAGTATAAGTTTTTTTTTAATATTTTCATAGTGTTTTTACCCCAGTTTAGGCGTTGGCTATTTGCTCATAGTTGGGGCCCTAATAAGTGCTACCAACCCGGGTCAGGACACACCCGGAAACAACTGCAATTAAGAGGTGATTGCATGCTCCTTAAAACCTCCTGATCAGAGCCCTTGCTGTCGGATGCAGTTTATCGTCATACCGAGGACAGACCCTTTTGATAGCCCCAGGTATAGCAAGCTTGTCTCGGGGACCAAGAATTTTCTTCTATGTGCTGTGTCCCTTCAGCACATGGCTATCCACAACTTCCCTTTTGCATCTCTAAGCATTTTTTGTCCCTTTATTACCTATTCCAATCCTAATACTGTTATTCATTTACACAAGCTTACCCGCTGTTTCCTTTTGCCTTCAATATATCCTGTGAGTGTCAAATACACCAAGCCTACTTTCTTTATTATGTGTTTCAGAAATTTCAACTGATTCTAGTACAAAGTCTCTTTCGCATCCCATTTTCATTAAAATCTCTTTGCTGCTCACATGCAACGTCTGTGCTATTCTCAGCATCCTTCTGTAGAATCACATCTCTGTTGCTTCAAGTCTCCTCCTCATCTATGAAAAAGCAATACGGCTTTCACTGACATGTAGGAGGATTTAAATTATATAGCAATTCAGCACGTTTTTTTCCTGTTTTTTTTTTTAAGGTATACTTTTTAATACAGTGTAACCCGGATATAAGAGAGTTGTCGGGACCGGAGAAGAAGTCTCTTATATCCGGATTTCTCTTATATCCGGGTTTTGTCTATTTTATATACATTAACACAGGCTCTAATTTGGGACCAGAGAAAATCTCTTTTATATCCGGGTTTCTCTTATATCCGGGTTTGGTCTATTTTGTTTAGGTAAGTATGGGCTCTATTTTGGGACCAGAGAAAATCTCACTTATATCCGGGTTTCTCTTATATCCGGGTCTCTTATATCCGGGTTACACTGTATCTTGATAGGCATATTTTTTTAATATATTGAAAGACATATTCAGAAGTCTATTATTCGTTGATGCATTGAATATTGCTGTCGAATCTAGTGGTGCTTATGTATTTAGAGATTCTTGATAAAATACAATGAAGAATTTGCAGTGTTATTCGTCCTGACCTGGTATCCCGGCTTCAGTCGTTTTCCCGACGCCGTAACGTATCTTTCTTGTGATTTTCTATGAATATTGTCATGGTAATTGTTCTGATTAGCTTTCCACGTTGGAAGCCGGAAGAGAGTTCCACAAGCGAGAAGTGCGATAGAAGAAACTGTTAGCATAGAACCTACGGTTACGTCTAGACATTGCAACGGTAAAATAATGAGACCTTACCGCCAATCTAGTACAGCGCTTAAATTCATAAAGTACTATCGAGGAAAGTTCCTCTATCCAAGCTGGAATCTATTACTTCAACGTGCCTCCATGTGTGTGTGTGTGTGTATGTGCGCTTTCATGCGTGCATATGTGTGTAGGCACGGTGGTGTAATGTATAGCGGCACGGATTGAAGAATCGGAGTGCCGAGTTCGAATTTCAGTTCGAGTTTATTACATTCACTTACATGCTAACACTCTTGGAAAGGATATGAATCCATCTATCACCCTACACAGGTATGGTTAAATAGCAGGTCATAGCGGGTACTTTAAACTTGGGTGGTAACCGGTCTTGGAGGACAACAATTCTGAACTCAAATCCTGAGAAGAGTCATTTCAGGACCTTGTGGTAAACTGTGCACCAGTTCTCTGTATTCGGCTCTTCAAAAATGTGTGGTCGTTTCTGCAGAAGCATTTCCCATTCAAATCGTATGTGCGGATCGTCTGGCTGTTTTGGTGTCAGAAAAGACAGCAGCGTCCTCCATATATTTGATTTGGGTGTGGGCAAAAAATCAGACAGAATGGTAAATATTTAGTCAATTAATCAGCATCATCGGAAAAAAGGATTATCTTTCGACAAAATCCATATTAGCAAGAGAATTATACAACCGAGATATTTTGGATTTATTACTTTTTCTGTCTAAATTGATACTGAAACAATGTGGCATACAAAAGCCTTAAACTAAAACGTATATATAAATAAATATTTAAAAGTTGCGTTGAAATGAATAAAAGCAAATTAAAAAACAAAAACAAGTGTCTCTTTGTTTTGCTGCTGAGGTCGTATTGTCTTATATATATATATATATATATATATATATATATATATATATATATATATATATATATATATATTGCGTATATTTTGGCCGCATGTTTTCATTGAGACATGATTCATTGTATAATTTAGACAACCTTTGTCTATTTATTTTCAATTGAATCCTTTGATATTCACAGACAAGCTTTTTAGTGTCATTATTAAAGGAAGAGAGAAAATTACCGAATTGATACATATAATTTATTCCGAGTACTTTCGACATTAGCACAATGTCATCATCAGGATGTTGTTTATTTCAAGACAAATATTGTAGCGTTCATCATTTTCAGCAAAAAATTGCTGTTTTCATCTGAAAGTTACAAATTTTTACTTGTGAAGTGAAAAGCTTGTCCGTGAATGTGAAAGGATCCAATTGAAAATAAGGGTTCCCGTGATATAACTCTTTGATCCTTGCCAAAAAGGTGAATTTTGGAAAACAATCGCATTTTAAATATCACTATTTACATTATTCGGACTATTGTCCTCATTTTTGTTGCTATATTTATCACAACGTTTCGGCTGTTGTACGCTCTGGCCTTCTTCAGGTGGTTGGAATGTCGAACTGAACCATTTATTTTGCTTGCTGGGGTAGACTGTTCTAGTTCCACGTGCCATGTCTAATGGATGTCAGTTATCAGTTATCTCCTGTTAATTCCTCTCCTTAAGGATACGTGGCACAGTGGATAAAGGCGTTGATTAGATCCAGTGATAGGGTCTAAAGAGAGTTGTGAGTTCAATACCTGGTTAAGGCAGTAGAGAACTTGGTGAGGTTACCGACAGGACTGAAACCTGCGTCCCCTAGGAGAAACCATTACATCTGACGTGCTTTGACCTCTCGGCCACGTAAATTTAATATTGTTTTTCCTTTACAACGCGATTTTTTGGTACACGGGTATATTTTCATATGTATAACTGTAAGCAAATATAACTAGGTCCATAAAACGAACGTGAATAGCAAGAATAAAGATAAAATTGACGAGCATCAAAGGTAAGCCAGTGGAGATGACCCGACTATTCAGTGACTTACAAATTACAATAAGGTATTTATCAGTGCGCACACGTTGCCACCGAATGTGACACCAGGTTAGTTTAATGTGGGTTTACCGGCTATACTGTAGAACATTGCTCAAACCCCTTGATGCTTCACCTTTTAGGGACGCCTCAGGCGCTGGATAATGGCCCCAGCTTCTTCCCGATTGAGAAGACTGCCCGGGGTATCCTAAGTTAATATTGTCAACTTTCCCGGCAAAAGCCTAAAATGTCTTAAAATAAAATTAAACACAAAAAATGAAGATGTCTGAATTTGGGTTGAAGGGGAGATAACATTGCGTTTTTTACGTTTTAAGGATTCTCAACTTAAACACAAGAAGTGTTTTTTTTTTTATTCTGGAAGAGGAAATAAGAAAATTTAGCAATAAAATTTTTTAGTAAGAATTAATAATTGATAATAATTTTTATTGAGCGGGACTCGGCAAAATAGAAAAAAAAAACAATACAAACGTGACTGCAGAAAATACAGGGTCTGCTCGTCGAAATATTACTAGGTTGTGTCTGACTTTATGAGATGATGAATTATCATATTACACTATTTATATTTGGATTATTGTCCTCATCTTTATTGTTGTCATCACAACGTTTTCTTCGGCCTTCCTCAAGTTTATATCGATCTGGGTAACCTACACGGTAGCATTCAAAACTTGACAGCCGGCAACAACAGATGAAACCTAATCAGCAGCCAGTGGGTCAAAAGTTGAAACTTAATCAGCAGCCAAGTGGGTCAACAGCTGAAACTTAATCAGCAGCCTAGTGGGTAAAAGCATTGGTTTGTGAATATGGTGTCATATTGGATGTGAATTCAATCCCTGGGTCGGGCAGTGGGTACTTGCTAGCAATAACTGAACATAAATAAGAATTAGATGATATCCCGAAAACGTGAAGAGTGTCTACCTCCGATGGTTATAAAGGGTTCAGTTCAGAATTTCCTTTAGCTTATCCATTTCGATATACAGAGGAAGGCCAGAGTGAACAAAAGCTGAAATGTTGTGATGACAACAACAAAATGAGGACAATAGACCAAATATATACAGTTTAAATAATGTGAAAGCATTTTATAAATCTTACAGCCATACCCAACGATTTTTTTATTTTTTAAAGAAGAGAAAGAATCGAAAAAAAAAAAGAAAAAAAATACATTTAAAATGGAATGAAAGAAAACAAAAATGGCATTTCCTCTTGTTTTGTTTTATTCTTTCATAGGAGCAAGGAAGAAAAGAAACACACGAAGATAAAAAATAACTCATTCCATCTGTTTGAAACATGGTCCGTGCTTAAAAGAAAGCTTTCTGAGACAAAAAAAAAAAAAAATATCGTCCTTCTTCCATTTCTTTGTGTTATTATCGTATTATAATTATGTACGTTTTTCCGTTCGTTAATTTGCACGACCTTTACGCTCTGCCAATACCTCATAAATGATGGACTATTCTGTTTCGATCGCGTGGGAAGAAGGAAAAACTACTACCTGGTTTCAGCGAAATGTGAATTCTAAGTAAAAGAAAGAAAGAAAGAAAGAAAGAAAGAAAGAAAGAAAGAAAGAAAGAGAAGTGT